CAAAAATATTTTCAACAGTTATCTTTCTTAAACCTCTTTAATTTGATACCCATATTGTAATATTTTATTTACTAGTGAACCCGCATGGCGTCAAAACGCCAACATTTAATTAAATTTTTTAAACACCTCTAATAATATTCCCAATGATTAATCTCGCATGGTGTCGGTTTTCATTTCATCAAATTACAAATCTCTATGTAACTTCAAAAAATAAAACCTGTGCACATCTAAATAGAATCCCAGTTCTTTAATTTGACTTCTCATTGTGGAAATTCCAAATAACTTTGTAGATGTTATGACATTAAAAAAAATAGATGGCAACTCTAATTAAAAATATTAGCAGCCTAAAGATTTCTTAAAACTCTTTCGTTTGCCATTAATATTTCGATATTTATTGCGTATATTTATTTTCGTATAAGTAAAACAAATTCGACTTTTCAAACAGGTGGTAACTTCTTTAAAAGTATTTTCAAACTAAAAGCTTTCGCCTGGCATTGTTATACATATTTCAATTAACTAATGAATTAAGTTGAATTAAATTTTTTTGAGCACATGGCAACTCTCCCAAATACAGTTTAGAAATAAATTATTTTCAAACCCATTTCGATGATATCCATCTTTTGACAATCCATTTAACTTATTAAATAATTTGAGCTTAATTTTTTTAATAAAAAAAACAAACAAATGTTCAATTTAAAGATTTCTTAACACTCGTTCTTTTGATAACCATATTTTAAAATTTCCTCTAACTTATGTATAATTAAACAAAATACCACTTTCAAACTTTAAACTTTAAAACTAAAATTTCCTTAAATATTTTTCGTCTGACATTGTTATAAATATTTCAAGTAACTGATGATTTAAGTGGAAAATTTATTTTTTAAACACGTGGCAACCCTCCTAAATATAGTTCTTAAATAAAGGATTTTAAACCCATTTTCATTGATTACCATCGGTTAGTAATTCATTTAACTTATTAAATAATTTTTGTTTAGCCCTTTCAACTGGGCAACCCTCAAACGCATCAAAAACATTCTAAATTGTCAAACTAAGCTGAGGTATTCACAACGGTGTCGTATTGCTGTATGTCGTAAACTTTAAACGCCTAAAAATATATTAAAGGGGTGCAAAGTACCATCAAAGACATATTTTGAATTTTCGCAGTGTTAGAAAATAGTTGGTTGTGGTTTCAAGTTTTCTAAATATTTATTAATGTTTTTAAAGTTTACGACATACAACAATACGACACTTACGACACCGTTGTGAATCCCCCAATAATTTCTTGAAGCTCTTTCATTTGACATCCATCATTAATATTTCATATAACTTGAGTATAAAATAGTTCAATTAGACTTCTCAAATAGATGGCAACCCTATTAAAAAATATTTCCAAACTACTATTTTCTGAAACCTCTTTTTTATGACACCCATATACGATACCTTATCCACTTACCAAACTCCTTTAATTAACATCTAATTACATTTTTTTTAACATGTGGCAACCCTCCTATACGTAGTTAAGTTATAAAGCCTTTTAAAAACCATATCGATTGATACCCATATTTAATAATTGATTTAACTTTTTAATTAATTTGAGCTTAATTTCTTAACAACTGGCAACTTTTTTCGAGAAAGTAAAACCTTCTTGAACATCATCACCCTAAGCCCTTTAATTTGGTGCCTCACTTTTGAAAATTGAAAGGACGGTGCGGATCTGAGAGCATTGAGTAGTAAATAACTTGAGTTTAATTATTTAACAGGTGGCAACTCCTTTCGAAAAAATAAAACCAGTTTGCACATTTACAGGTCAAGCGCTTTAATTGGGCACCCCATTTTTGTAAATCGAGAGAACAGTGCAGATCTTTTATGCTGCACAAAAAATGCCTTCGCGTATTATATATATATTATATATACAGATACCTATTTTAATTACCACATTATCTTAATTCAAATTGAATTTGATTGTTTAAACAGGTGGCAACCCTCCTACACGCAGTTAAGAAATAAAGTATTTTCAAAACTACTGCGATTGGTACCCATATGGTAAATATTGATTTAACTATTTAAATAATTTGAATTTAATTTTTAAATAGGTGGCAGCCCTCTTCAAACACTTTAAAAATATTCTAAACGTTCAAACTAAAGATGTCTTAAGATTCATTCGCTTGACGTCCATATTTTTATACATCATATAAATTAGACTTTTCAAACAGGTGGCAACCCTCTTCACAATGTTTACAAACTACTACGTACTTAAACTTTATCGTCTGGCACCCATACATATTTCTATTACCTAATTCCCTTAATTCAAATTAAATTTGATTTTTTTAACAGGTGGCAACCCTCATTAAGTTAACAAACAAAGATTTTCAAAACTATTTCCATTTATGCCCATTTTGTAATAATTGGTTTAGCTTTTTAAATAATTTTAACTTCATTTTTTAAAAGGTGGCAACTCTTTTCGAAAAAGTTAAACCTTATTGCACACCTACATCCAGAGCCCTTTGATTTGGCACCTCACTTTTCAAAATCCAACTCCACACCGTTCTGATGGCATTGATTATTAAATTATTTGAATGCACTTTTTTACCAGGTGGCAACTCCTTTCGAAAAAATAAAACCAGTTTGCACATCTACAGGCCAAGCGCTTTAATTTGACACCCCATTTTTGAAAATGCCTTCGCGTATTATTTTGAACTTAATTTTTTAAAAGGTGGCAACTCTTTTCGAAAAAGTTAAACCTTATTGCACACCTACATCCGGAGCCCTTTGATTTGACACCTCACTTTTGAAAATCGAATGAACGGTGTGGATCTGATGGCATTGATTATTAAATTATTTGAATGCAATTTTTTATCAGGTGGTAACTCTTATCGAAAAAATAAAACCTTATTGCACATCTACAGACCAAGCGCTTTAATTTGACATCTTATTTTTGAAAATCGGGCGAACGGTACAGATCTTTTACGCTGCACAAAAAATCCCTTCGCGTATTATACAGTTGTCCACAAAATAATAGGAGTGCGATATTTTGACCAGTTTTGGCTATTTGTCTTTTGTTTATTTAATGTTTATTATTTTTTTATAAAAGCCTAGCTGGCTATACAACAAACACCATATAAATTCAGATTTTAAACTTTGTATAAAAATTATAAAAATTTTGCA